AGACCCTAGATGAACGCTTCCCCCCTTCCCTCCCTCCCCACCTCCACCTTTTCTGAGCCCCGACCAACGCGTCCAGCGTGTGAGGTGGCAGGGCGTGGAGCTAGCCGGTGCGTTAGGGCATTTTATCTAATGCTGAGACAGAGAGAGTGAGAGAGAGAGACAGGAGGATGCGGTTCTCTCTCTCACTCCCCCCCCCTCTCTCCATTGAACCGAACTTTTGAATGGAAGCGAGCCGGACGTACGCGAGGCGGGAGTCAAGTCAATCAGGTAAGTGCAGTGCTGTGTTCGAAATGGGTCGCCCTCATTTTATTTTCAATCATTAAGTAACTACTTTTCATAACTTTAAGTCAGACGCAAACAAATTTTTATATGACTCTTTGAAGACAATTAGCTGCACTGCGTGTGTGTGTCGTTTTACTCAATCCAAGCTAATTTGGATGTCGTCGGGCAGCGATCTCTTCTTACGCGATGCCCGTCTTGCTCTGGATCCAGTCCCGGTTGATGGAGGCGCCAAGGTCCGCGTAGACGCCCGCGAACCCGGGGTAGCCGCAACCCACCCCCCAGGAGACGACGCCCACCTGGACGCCCAGCATGTTGACGAGCGGACCGCCCGAGTCACCCTGTAGAATAACACACAACAACGCTATCGGGTTAGACTCCAAGACTATTTCCAGCGTAGGGCGTCCCCACCGAAGGGTACTCCTTCACTGTCTTCAGACGCACACAAATTTTCCTGTTTTTTTTTTTCATTATTTCTGTTCTTTTTTTGTTTTTTGTTTTTGATTTTTGATGATTTTTTCTGCTAAAAAGAATTTCAAGTTTCCTTCGGTCTCCACTCGTCCCTCGAGCACGTACCTGGCACGAGTCCTTGCCGCTAATCCCGGCGCAGATCATCGAGTCGTCGATCTTCTCGCCCTGGGACTCGTACGAGATCCTGCAGGTGGACCTGGGCACGTAAGGCAGACTCACCGCCCGCAGGCCGGAGGGTCCATCGTAGTCGTAGGACTGGAATCAAGAGCAAGGGTTTAATGCATGCTTGACATCTTTTTTGTTTAGGGAGGGGGAGGGGGCACGGGAAAAGAATACCTCAATGAAAATAGCTAACTTGACCTTAGCTCAGATTATTAGCGGACATATTAGCCTAGCCTAAATAGGTAGTTCCTTTCGACATCTTAATTTTACTCTTGGCTTATAAATAGCTCGGTGGGCAAGTAAAATAGGGTGATCCGAGGCCTTGGCTAAACTTGAAGGAGAAGAACAACAATCGCATGCAGGGGGAGGGGCGGGGTACTATGCCCCCGCCCAGCCCCAGTCCTCCCCGCGCCCGCCGATTTTTGTTCTTCTCCTTCCAGTCAAGCCGAGCCCTGGAGTACCTTATATTCTGATGGCAAAATCAGCTAAATTCTTTTAGGTTTAGATTTTTAGACAGTCCCTCATTTTTTTCATGCAGAACGTCATGGTCAACCCCGACTGACTTTCACTCACGGATCAATCATTTTGGCTTGAGGTCCTCTCTCTCCGCCCTGATTGCCGTGTGACCGTGCAGCAGACCCTGACCGTCGTCGTCGTACTTACGTTCATGAGTCCCCAGCCGGACACGGAGAGCGTGTCGGTCGACTTGGGCAGGGTGCCGACGGCGGTCATGCGCACGGGCTGCGCCTTGGGCGAGAAGACGATGTCGTCGGCGACCTGGACGACGGCCACGTCGCGGAGGTGCGGCTCGTGGACGTACTTGTCGTGGTACGCCATCCACTTGACCTGCACGAGCGTGCCGCCCTGCTCCTTGACGTCCGTGGCGTAGCGGACGGCGTAGTCCTCGATGGCATCGTCCCTGTGGGCACATGGTGGCCGTGTAGTTCTGCTGCTAGGGTTGGAAATTTCTCAAATTTTCCGGAAATTTTCCGGAAACTTTCCAGGGCTTCCAACCCTAGCTGCTGCACATAGGACGAGCCGCGGATAGGTCACTCGGCTAGAGCGCGGAGCGGAACTAGAAGAAGAACAAAAGCGGAAACAGAGAGCGGCGGTCGTGGGAGCGGGCTGGTGGAGGACCGGCGAGACACACTCACACTCACCCCTAACACCAGCAGCTCCTCAGCTCGCCCGCCCACCACTCTCTGTATCCCCTTTTTTGTTCTTCTTAGTTCCGCTCGGCGCTCTAGCGGAGTCCCTGCGGCTGTGAGATAGTTTTCCCCAACACCCTAACACGTGAGATGTGAGAGCTGTCACCAACGTCACACAAACGCCCGCCATACTGCAGTTTCCTTGCTTCTACTCTTTTTGATCTATAGGATAGGTGAGTACTTATAGGTTAGGTCAGAAGAATTATTATTTAATATGAAACACTCGCGAGCAGACTCACTCGTAGATGCAGTGGGCGGCGGTGAGCACCCACTGCGGGCTGAGGATGGAGCCCCCACACCAGTGGCCGCCGTTCTTTTCCAGGGAAATCTGGAAAATGAGAGGGAAAACATGTTTACTGTCCCGTTCATTAGCTACCGATTGCATTCGCAACTCACCACCGACCACCGGTCTCTCCTCCGTATCACGCGCAACACAAAACTATGCCGTCCACTTGAAAAACGATTATCGGGCGAATCTCGTCTCGCTGGCGCCCAACACGCGCCGTCATGTGGACGTCGTGACATCAGAACACGGGCATCTCCGCACAGAACTTACGTGTGGCAAATTACTTGTACAAATAATATTTCCGTAGGTTCGATGCCCGAGCGATCAAATTAAGTAGTGTAAACACCTCAGCACCGGATCGGGCACATCCGAAACTATACGCGCTCCCTCTGAGCTCACAGTGACGTATGAGTTAAACATTATGTTACACACCTGGAGGAGCGTTACTAAACGTCACACACCTGGAAAGGCACCTCCTCGATCTTGACGGGGTGGCCGCCCACGATCTGCAGCCCGCCCCCGGTGCGATGACCAAGGCCCAGGTCGCGAGCTGAGGCGCCCAGCAGACAGGCCGCGCCTGCGGTCGAAGTAATACATTTATAAGAATACATTTCAATGTGCGCTACTTATTACTACAAAACAACGATTGGCGCAATACTTAATCATTTGACACCGAGTCACTGGAAACTTGTCACAAAAATGTTTTCCTAACTACTCCAGTTTTGTGCCATCATATATTATCAACAAATTAATTAGTATCACCAAAAATTCTCCTAGTTATAATTGTGGCACTAGGAAAACGCTTAGTAACAACAGAAGGTTTAAAATAATTGAGAATTTCCAGATTGACAGCAAAAAACTTTAGTTTAGGTGCAAGGTAAAAGTTTCTAGTAAAACGCTTCGAGTATGCCTCACCGACGACGAGGAGCCCCACGGTGAGCATGCTGATGGCCGTCCTCTAACTACAGTACTACTATAGTCGGGGGATCTTGTGCCCCGTCGCCTAATCTTGCCACTCCACTTCCTATTCTGCTGCTCACTCTCTGTATCGTTTTCTAAGTAGCGCGTGGAGTGATTGGCAGAGTTGGTGAGTGAGTGAGTGAGTGAGTGAGTGAGTGAGTGAGTGAGTGAGTGAGTGAGTGAGTGAGTGAGTGAGTGAGTGAGTGAGAGAGTGAGTGAGTGAGTGAGTGAGTGAGTGAGTGAGTGAGTGAGTGAGTGAGTGAGTGAGAGAGAGAGAGAGAGAGAGAGAGAGAGAGAGAGAGAGAGAGCGATACACGCTGCGGTAGACGGCACAGTATACCCCCCTCCCTCCCCCAACAGGAACTGCAATGCCTCGCCATTGATTGAAACTTTCCGAATGGACCGGGAGTGAGCGAGCAGAGGTCCGACACGTCTGGGATGAATTGCCCTCCTCAGTCAGTAGTTTTGAGGTAAATTAAGCGAAATAATGTTCCTGATGTTACTTTCATACTCCATACTGAAAGTTGGTCCTGGTCATGTCGGATATTATGACGTATGTTGGTCGTTGGTCCTCGTTAGATGTGATGTGTTTCATACTGCTTGTTTTTAATTTTTCGATTATTAATTTGTGGAAGAGTTGTGTAAATTGCAACAGCAAAAGTTAAAAAAAAAGCTTCATTTCACATAGACATTTATTTTTAATGAATAGCTGGACCACTTGATTCGCTTGACGTATATGAAACCACTTTGGCGTTTCATAGTTGGTGAAAAGTTTCTTCTCTATGCGATGCCCGTCTTGTTCTGTATCCAGGCCCGGTTGACGGCGCTGCCGAGGTCCGCGTAGACGCCCGCGAACCCGGGGTAGCCGCAACCCACCCCCCAGGAGACGACGCCCACCTGGACGCCCAGCATGTTGACGAGCGGGCCGCCCGAGTCACCCTGTAGAACAACACACAACAACGCTATCGGGTTCCGCGGGGGCAAGACGACCTCAATGAAAAACTAGCGAGGGGTGCATAACTCCTGAACTGGGTGTACAAATTTCATGAATTAAATTCGAATTAGCTTGAATTTGTTTTAATTATTGTGATTTTATTTTTCTGAATTAGCGTGGTGAATTGACTTGAACTATGACTTGAAATGGCTTAAATTGACGTGAATTGAATTCTGACCATGGTCTTAAATTGGACTGAATTAGTTGAATTAATTTTCAATTCGTTTGAATGAAATTGAATTGGTCTGAATTAGTTTGAATTGGGCGGAATTAGGGGCGTACACTTGACAGGCGAGTTTATCCACCCCTTTGAGAACTAGAGTTTGTCTGTCGTTACCCAGCACGAGTCCTTGCCGCTCATCCCCGCGCAGATCATGGAGTCGTCGATGAGCCTGCCTCGGTCTTCGTACGAGATCCTGCAGGTGGACCTGGGCACGTACGGCAGACTCACTGCCCGCAGGTCAGAGGGCCCGTCCCAGTCGTAGTACTGAACGAAAGATAAAAAAAAAGAATACCAAGATAGCTAAACTATGAAGCTAAATAGGGGCCAACTAATTAATTAGCTATGAAGCTCGAAATTTAGCTATGTTGCTAAAAAACAAAATTTAATCAAGTAACAAACAGAAATCGCCGAGGGGGAGGAAGTGGCCGTCGAGGTGACCGTCCTGCTCGACCCCTCGCACTCACGCTGTCGGTGCCCCAGCCGGACACGGAGAGCGTGTCGGTCGACTTGGGCAGGGTGCCGACGACGGTCATGCGGACGGGCTGCGCCTTGGCCGAGAACACGATGTCCTCGTCGACCTGGACGACGGCCACGTCGTGCTGCCGCCGCTCGTTGACGTACTGGTCGTGGAGGGCCATCCACCTGACCTGCACGAGCGTGCCGCCCTGCTCCTTGACGTCCGTGGCGTAGCGGACCCCGTAGATCGTGGGGTCATCGATCCTGTGAGCGAGCGCGCGCAGTGAGGACACGGTGGTACTACGAGTGCACCTGTACTTAGTGCAGCATGCAGGACGAGTTCGATAATCGACGTATCCCGACAGAATGGGCGTATCTGTTTTGGGTCGGAGCAGAATGGGCGTATCTTTTTAGACAGTCCCTTGTGGTCTGTCTCTACCCGAAGGTAAAAGTTTCCAGTTTTGATGGCCGATTAACGTTCCAGTTATGATAAGCCGATTGACGTTGATGGCCGATTAACCCGATTATTTAGCGACTACGAGAAAGGACGTATCTGTTTTGGTGCAGAACAGAATGGGCGTATCTGCAAAAAGCTGGTTTTCCAGGAGATGGAATTGAAAGTTTGAAGGGCTATGACAATAAAGCATTCCGGTAAAGCTGAAATGCAGAAGAATGAGGGGAACAAGAAAACTGAAATCGCTATGCTTTAACATGGTGACTTCCGTTTTCTTGTTCCCCGCATTCTTCTGCATTTCAGCTTTACCGGAATGCTTTATTCAAGTTGACGTCGTACTCTCGGGGAAAAAAATTGAGGTGACTCAATAATTTTTTCTGCGTTGAATGATATAAGAACATTGACAATATCATCGAGGGTTATTTAAATAATAAATAAAGAATAGAATCACAAACAGGTTAGGTGGCTTACATTTCTGTTTTGGCTCTTTTAAGTTTTTTCTCAGCCTCATACTGACATCTCCCAAGGGCAGCAAGTCTTCCCGCCCGTGAAAAGGGTCGCTATGACATGAGTATATGTCATAAGGTACTATTTTAAAAACTAAAATCTGTGGAACCAGGTCTCACACAGCTACCGTACGCGCACAACTACGCACACCCTTGCCGCCACTACCAAAAGCGACTTGGCTCGACTCGGCAAGGCTTCTATTCTATTCTATTCTGCACCAAAACAGATACGTCCTTTCTCGCAGTCGCTAAAAATATACGCCCTTTCTGCTCCGACCCAAAACAGATACGCCCCATTCTGTCGGGATACGTCGTATAGTGCAGCATGCAGGGCGAGTACTATAGTGCAGCATGCAGGGCGAGTACTTTAGTCGACTTTAGTTCAGCGTGCAGGACTAGTACTATAGTGCAGCATGAAGGGCGAGTACTATAGCATGCGGGACGAGTACTATAGTGCAGCGTGCAGGAGGGCGTGCAAGTCACGGATCAAGGAATGGGGGTAGAAGGAACCCCTTGAAAATCATGCACACAGAAAATACACAAGAGAATGCTCTATAAATAACAAAAAATGCACACGTCAAAACACGCGCCAACAAAAAACCCTAAAAATAAAAATAAAGCACGAGTAGTGTTCCGCAGAAATACAGTAGATGCTGCTACTACTCACCCGTAGATGCAGTGGGCGGCCGTCAGCACCCACTGCTTGCTGAGGATGGAGCCTCCGCACTGGTGCGCGCCATACTGCTCCAGGGAAACCTGGGAAATTGAGGGGAATTGTTACTGCAACTCGCCGCACCGCACTGTTAAAACCTTACGAAGAAATGCTTTTTAATTACAAACAAAATGCTTCGTAATTATGAAGGATTTAGATGCTTTGTAATACACTGTTAGAAAAAACCACGGAAAAAACACAGCAAAACTATGGTCAATTTTTTGCCCAGAACGTCCGTCCCAATCTGTGCTGAAACCACAGAGACGGTACGGAATCAAAGGTACAGAAAACCACGGAGCTTCTGTTACGGAACGTCTGTGCTACTCCGTACACCTGCCACAGAATTATTACAGATATTTTCTGTGACTTAGCCATTCTTTTCTAGACATAGTTTTGTTGAATTAGAAGGATCGTCGTCTTCGTAGGATTCTTTGGTACCCAAAGAGAGTCAAAAATTCAATTTCATTGGCGCTTTATCACAGGAGTGCAGCGCGCGTGAAACTATCTCCCAATTGCAACCAATCAGGGTGGGACACTACATGGTGACCAGGACGGAAGTGATCAGCGCGAGGTAATGTAGAATGCCATCTAGCGGCGTCTTCGGACGCCTTACCACTGAGACACAATATCTGTTACAGATGGGTCCGCGACCCTTGAATGACAGACTATTTATATGACGGAAACAATCTGTACGATTCTGTTCTGTTTTTTCTGTGATTTTGAAGCACAGACTTCTGTGTTCACAAAATAACTGAAAATTTCTGTAACAGAAGCAATCTGTACACCTCTGTTGGGAATTTTTCTGTGGTTGTCTGTGGTTTTTCCACAGATTTTTTAACAGTGTACGAACGATTTTGTTTGTAATACAAACGATTTTGTTTGTAGCTTGCGAACCATTTCCTTCGTAGCTTGCAAAGCATTTCTAAAATGCTTTGTATTACAAACAAAATCGTTTGTATTACAAAGCATCCAAATCCTTTGCAAGCTTACAAACAAATTTGTTTGTAGTTTGTAAGAATTTAACAGTGCGCTTAAAGTGAGGGATGGCCGAAGAGCCGTAACCCCCCCCCCCTCACACACACACACACACACACAGACCTACAGACCTGGAACGGCACCTCCTCGATCTTCACGGGGTGGCCGCCCACGATCTGCAGCCCGGTGCGACCGCTGTGCAGGTCGCGTGCGCAGCAGGTGCCCAGCAGACAGGCCGCGCCTGGCGTGAGGGCAGAGAGTCCTTTGGGTCATACACTAAACTTTTTACAGGAAAAATTTGCTGAGGAACTACTAAACTGAGCAAGCCGGGGGAAGGCTCGTCTTCTCCTTCTGGTAGACAGTCTAAAAAGTTTCGTGTGCTGTTCTATACTATCAAGAAATTTTCGGCGAGTGTATTGACTGTCAGACAACTACAACGGAACGAGTAAAACTTTTAAGTAACAATTTTAAGAGAGGCAAATTTTGTATTAAAAATAAGTTTAGAGTGTATAATAAGATGAATGAGTTGAGGTCCAATAAGTGTGAAGTGTGGTTTTCCAAAATCAAACACATGTCAGAGACTCTGTAACCAACAGGACGGTTATTAATTGGTGCCTCACCGATGACGGCGACGAGTAGTGCGAGTCGCATGCTGCTGGCGAGGTGTCCGCTGGTGGCCGCTGGCTAACTGCACAATACTTACGCCCTTCACCACCTAATCTCTCGGCGGCTATTCCTCGCCCCCCCCCCCCTTTTCCCTCTGTCGCTCCTCTGTATCGTTTACAAGTGGGACGGTGGTCACAAACCCAATAAACACGAAAAACTCACGAGGGCGTCATATTGACAGCAAAAGGACTTGTAGTTTATTCGCGAGAAAGGTCAAAATATAGGGCAAAACGAAGTCATTTTGACGTCAAATGACCGAAAATGACCTTTTTGTGACTTTTCGTGTTCTCTGGGAAAACTGAACCTCCTCCGCGCGTGGTGTCGTCGTGCCGTGTTGGAAGAAAGTGGTAAATCAAGGTACCCCACGACGGCTATTTTAAGAACACCCGAGGAGCGCCTCTCTTTTGTAACGGTTTTTGAGTCGGGCGATACTACTACTACCTCTACCGGATCGTGTTGTGTTTTTTTTATTTGTGTTTTTTTTTTCTTCCTCTCTGTGGGATGAGGCCCCATCATTTAGACGGGGAATCAACGCGCGCGGTCGTACGTGGCCGGTCAGGCGCGGGCCACTCATGTGTTTCGGGTCATTATCAGCTGCGGGGCACGGCGAGCTATTCCTCACAGTTTGTTTCCTCTGCTACTTCATTACTCTTCTTCTTCATTACTCTTCTTCTTCTTCTTCTTCTTCTTCTTCTTCTTCTTCTTCTTCTTCTTCTTCTTCTTCTTCTTCTTCTTCTTCTTCTTCTTCTTCTTCTTCTTC